TGTATGCATGTGTATATGAGTGCATGGATGTGTATCTGTGTATATGTGTGTGTATATGTGTGTATGTGTATATATATGTATTTGTATGTGTGCATGCATGTGTATGCATTTATGTGCATGTATGTGTGAGTACATTTGTGTGTATGCATGTGCATGTATGTGTATGTATGTTTACGTGCCCGAGTGCATGTATGTATGCATATATATGTATATGTATGTGTGCGTACATATGTGTGAGTACATTTGTGTGTATGCATGTGTGTGTATGTATGTTTATGTGCATGAGTGCATGCGTGTATGTATATATATGTATGTGTGGATGCATATGTGTGTGTACATTAGTATGTATGTATGTGCATGTGTATATGTATGTTTATGTGCATGAGTGCATGTGTGTATGTGTGTGGATTTATATGTGTGCATGTGCATGTATGTGTGTGTATATGTGTGTATGCATGTGTCTTTGTTCCTTCTACTTGCCTTGTACACCCAGCTGTGTTCAGCTGGGCCTGGTCAAATTCATTCCCACCTTTCCCAAGCTTTTGCTGAAAGTTCAGTACTGAGCCTTTTCATGGCTTTCTCACACTTCTGTAAAACACAGGTAAGGCTGGCAGACAGCTCAGCAGGGCAAGGTGCTTGCTGTTAGGCCAGACAACCCGAGTTCAGTCCCTAAGACCATCATGGGAGAGAAAACTGATTCCTGAAACTTGTCTGTGACCTACAGATGTCAACTATGGCGTGTGTGTACTCCCCCACATACGTGTGTGCACGCACACACATACACACTAAAAAATAAATGGGAAATAATCAGAGGTGACCATTAATTTGCCCATTTGTTCATATCAACACATATTCATTCACACACACACACATGTGCACACACACACACATGCACACACGCAAACACACGTGCACACGCACAGAGAACTCTAGGGTGTCTCAGGAATGAGGCACCTGTAGTGCTATCCTCATAGGTTCAGTGATCACAGAGAAAACGGACAGCGAAGCTGCCTCATAGCAGCATCCTGTGACGGGGGCAAAGCAGACCACACTGGGTCCTTTTCCTCTCTGACCCTGTGGACTTGGATCTGGGGCTCTCGGGGTCATACAGTTCTCCCCCTTTCCCTCTTGTAGAGCACCAAGATGGGCCTGAAGGCAGACAAACAGGTGGAGCAGCTCACAGAATGCAAGTGAGGATGGGCATGGCTTTAGCTGGGTGCGGGTGCAGGGGGTGCTGGGTCAGGGGAGCCCTCCTTGTGCCTGCTGACCTTCAGCCCTGAGCAGGCTGCAGGGACCTCCAGCCTAGGCATCCTCAGCCACACACTATCCAAGTGTTCTGAGGTGTGTGCATGCGGGGCGGGGCTGCCAGCCTCTTAGCCTTGCTTTCCACATCTGAGGTCTCTGCACCTCCCCTGCCTTGATTGCGAATCTCCATGCCACCTGCTGGTGTCAAGCTTGTTACATTAGGCCATGGGAGGCCTGCGGACTTTTTGCTAACTCTGTGATTGCTTTTCTGTCTCCTGCAATTTCTCCTCTAGCTCACACGAGGACCAGCCTTCACGTGAGTAATTTATCAAGGAAGGAAACCATTCCCTTCTGATGGGGTCGAAGCGGCTGTGATGGAGGGGCTCTTTCCACTATGGTCTATTACTTTTCTGTGACAGGATCTATTCATGAATTTGTCCTTCCTTCTGTTTGCCTGGCCTTTCACTACTTGGTGTTATTTCCTCATCTCAAACACCTGGTGAATGATACCTGCCAGCCTGGGTCATTTTTACAGGTCCAAGTGGGGGATGGACACATATCTCAGTGTCTGCAGTGGGATCGGGGGTGGGGGGTGGGAAGGTAGAGGGATGGATACTTGGGTAGATATATATCTGACTGGCTTGTCTATAGATGGATGAATGTATAGTTAGGTTTTGTGTGTGTGTGTGTGTGTGTGTGTGTGTGTGTGTGTGTGTGTTTGCATCTGCGTGCATGCATGTATAAATGATGAATACATACTCACATATATGAATGATGAATATGTTTGTATGATGGGTAGATATATGTATATTTGTGAATGGATGGATAACTTGTTGGGTAAACATATAACTGGATGGATGAATGAATAAATAACCAGATGTATGTATGTATAGATAGATGAATGGGTAGATGGCCAGATGGATGGGGAGATGGTTAAATAGATACACATCTGGATGGATGGGTGAATGGATGGCTCGTAGAAAGACAAGTGGGTGGGTAGATTAATGGGTAATTGGAAGAAGGGCTTGTAATGAATATGTAGGTGAACAGTTGACTTGATCAACTGACTGAGGAAGAGATAAATGAAACGAGTAATGTCTGGTCAGTGTGCCAACTGATGAACTGCTTGTCACACCAGCAGCAGCCATGGCAGTCCGCACATACCATTGTGAGTGCCACATGTGCCGAGCACGCTCACAGCTTACCTCCTTTAGTCTCACCACCAGCTTGAGAGGGGGGAACTCAGGCGCAGACATCTACCTACTCAAGCTTACAGAGCTATGAGTGACGGAGCTGGTGGCATTCACTGCCGTGACCATTCTGCCCTCGCTGTGTGTCCTGCTCTGGGTCTGTCCCCATAGGAATAGTGTTAAGTACTAAGTACCCAACCACATAACCATCCATCCATTCATAAATACACATATTTCCACGCACCACAATATCCATCATTTGTATGTATGTATGTATGTATGTATGTATGTATGTATGTGTGTATGTATGTATATAGCTGTGTATCTTCACCCATCATTCATACGTGCATGTACACACACCCAACCATTTACCCATTCATCCACAAGCCAGTCAGATATATATCTATCCAACTTGCCATCCCTCTATCTTCCCACCCTCAGGTCCCACTGCAGACACTGAGATGCCTGCCCATCCCCCACTTTGATCTCTAAAGTGACCCAGCCTGGCAGGCATCATTCATAGGGTGTTTAAGATGAAGAAAAATGAAGTACAGAGAGGGAAGCCTCTCACAGCCGGGGAGCCGTGTGTTCCAAACCCAGGCCTGCTTCATTCGGGAACCCGAAGATCTAGCTGTAGCTCCCATGGGACTGGTTGTTCCGAGAAACTTTTGTGTGAAAACATTCTGTTTGGCGCAAAGATAACAGCATCATAATGAACTGTTTATCACTCTGGTCTGCAGAGGACGCCTTTGATGAATTATTTAAGCTGGCTCCAGAGAAAGTGCACGCTGTCAAAGAGGTAGGGCAGATCAAAGCTTCCCACTCGCATCACCCACCTGCCTGTGATGAGCAAGGGTGATGGGGGAGGGTACAGGTCTCACCCCATGTCTGCTGGGTGCTGGGTGATGGGGGAGGGTATAGGTCTCACCCCATGTCTGCTGGGTGCTGGGTGATGGGGGAGGGTATAGGTCTCACCCCATGTCTGCTGGGTGCTGGGTGATGGGGGAGGCCGTCTGTCACTCCAGGTTAGAAGGAGGCATGAGGGTCCTGAATGGTTCTGAGACCTTTGCTCTTCTGTCTTAGGCCATTGTGAGTTTTGTCAACCAGAAGCTGGACCGCCTGGGCCTGTCTGTGCAGAGTCTGGACACCCAGGTAGGGACACTCCTGGGTCTCCATGCAGGAATGGAGACCTGAGGGCTCCTGATCCCCAGAAACTTTCCTGTGTGACTGGAAGTGAGCTGTCACTTCCGGAGTTCTCAGGGCCCTCTCTAGTGGGGTGTGCTGCTGCAGGCAGCATTGCCAGAAGGAACCTCTGGAGACCCTGGGCAGGGGGGCTGTGGGAAGCTGAGAAGGCTGAGCCAACTCTGCTTCAGGTTTTGTTGTTACCCATTTATCAGAATGGCTTCCAGGACACAGGATATCTAGGTCTCAGCCTTCCTAACGCTGTGACCCTCTAATACAGTTCTTCATGTTGTGATGGCCCCCAACCTTAAAAGTATTTCCTTGCTTCTTCGTAATTGTGGTTTTGCTACTCTTATGAATTATAATGTAAATTATATGATACATAGCACATCTGATCAGTGACCCCCCCAAAGGGGTCAGAACTCACAGGTTGAGAACTACTGCTTTAGGACACTCTACCACCAGAGCGAGGGGCCTCCCCTGCAATTATATTTATTAGATGTATCCGTGGGATTCATGACGGGGCCAGTTTTTAGACTGGGGCCAGGGGTGTTTAGAGGAGCTGGCATAGCCCTGCCATCGGTGGGCTCTGTCTCCACCCCGGGAGCCCTCAGAGCTTATCCCACTGTGACAACACAAACTCAACTGTCTTAAGGTAGAGCAGAGCCCCGCAGATCCAAAGCCCCTCATCTAGCCATGACCTTCACAGAGATTCTGTGTCTCCATTGTTACCACAACACAAGGTGGTGGAAGCACAGAGATCTGACATTGCCTGGGCCAGGCAGGGTGGTGACAGGGTCTGATGAACCCTGGGCAGGCCTTCCTGGACTGTGGATATCAGCCATGTCTCAAGGCCTATACAGAACCCGATTATAGAGGGCCAGGCTACGTATTCCTATTTTGGGGCCAAACAGGAAAGTGCTGGAGCAAAATATTCTCTGCCATCAGCTCTGCAACTCCCCCCCCAAGTTCCCCCTCCATGTGAGAACTCATAAAGCCCCATTCAATAGATGACACTATTAAAACACAGAGAGGCTAGGTAACTTACCAAAGGTCACACAGCAATTAAGTGGTGATCCTAGGATTTGGACAGAGGCAGTTGAGGCCCAAGTATACGCTGATAGCAACTGCACATAGTAGGTGGCCACGTGAGCTTTGTGAGTGCTGTGGCAACATGGTGGGGTGACACAGACTTCAGAGTCATATGTGCTTCCATCTTGTGCCTGCCACTTGGTGCCCTTGGGCGATGAGGGTATGTCCGCATTGGCTGTGTGACCTTGGGTGATTTACTGAACTTCTCTGAACTTAAGGCTCCTTGCTTTATAAAGTGGGAGCAATTCTACCTCATGGGATTGAGGGTGGGGGAGCATTGCTATTTAGTAACATTTATGTCGCCTGACTCGCTGTGGCTTTCCCCGGGTAACATACCCATCTCTGACTGTATTATCTGTGGGTAGACATAGCACGATAGCGCAGGTTTGCAGTCCACTTCCGGCATCCTTCTCTTCTTCGAGGAAACAAGAGTAAGTGGACAAGGATGGTAGGCTGGGATGATAGAGGAGGCCTCAGAATTAGGTTTCCCAGCAACGTTTTGGGGACAGCAGCAGAGACACTTCCAAGCCCAAACTAATAACATCAGAACAGACTTAATCAGGGGAAATTCCATTAAAGACAGAACAGCGCCTTTCCCCAGCAAAGAGATTCAGCAGGATTACATTAGCATTTGACGTGCCCACTGCAGCGTTATCTCAGACCGTGCAGACAGAACAGACAGAAATATTAATGGGCCCGTGTAGTCCTCTTTTCCTTTCCTGATGGGAGAGTTTTATACTAATTCTGTTTTCACACACGTGTCTGTAGTCCATGGAATAACTTGTCATTTAAAAATAGGCACAGTGGGGGGTGGCGGTGGTGAAAGGTGCCTCAGCTGGTGTAGTGCTTTCCTGGCAAGCCAGAATCCTGGGGTGTGGTGGCACACATGTCTTTTTTTTATATGTATGAGTGCTTGCCTGCATGCGTGTATGTACGACATGTGTGCTTGATTACCAAAGGGGCCGGAAGAAGGTATTGGACTCCCTGGAACTGGAGTTACAGATGCACTGGGCTGCTGAGTGAGTGCTGGGAACCAAACCCAAGTTCTGTGTAAGAGCAGAGAGTGGCCTTAACCACTGAGTCATCGTGCCAGGCTCTGACACATATTTTAATCCCAGTACTAGGAAGGCAGAGACAGGAGGATTCCCGGGGCTTCCAGGCCACCCAGGCTAGCCTACTTGGCAAATTCCAAGCTTGAGAGACTGTTCTTCCCAAGCCCAGATAGGTGTACTAGTTCTAAGGAATAATACCTTAAGTTGTCCTTTGGTCTCTATTTGTACCTGCATATATGTGCACCAGTATCCACACATACCTGTCCATACATGAACACACACACACACACACACACACACACACACACACACACGCACACACGAGGGAAGGGGGGACACGAGGCTATTCCATAGTAAGTTTGGAAACAGCTATTTTAATTGAACGTATTCTGAGAGCCAGGCAGCCCACAACTGCTTCATGATAACCCCAAGCTGGGAATGCCAACCTCACTTCCCAGAAGGAATGTGAGGCTCAGAGAGGTGGTGTGACTTCTTTCAACTCACACCGCATGGAAGAGGCAGAGTGGAACCCGTCCAATGTCAGTGTCCCCCACACCACAGCCCTGGTTCATTTCTTCTGTTAGTTCCTTATATGTCACTGTGACAAATGCCTAAGAGAGAGGGGAAGGGTTTATCTTGTGCACAGGTTCATCTTTGGTCTCTTTGTTTGGCCCCACATGCTTGGGCAGAATATGATGGGCCCAGGGGTGTCTGGTGGAAGACGGCTGTTCACATCATGGTGGACAGGAAGCCAAGAGCCCAGCAGGAAGGAGCCAGGGAGATTGTAGCCACTGATCTACTGTACCCAGTAATCTACTTCCTATAGCCAGTTCCTACCCCATAAAGCATCCAAAACACCGCACCAGCTGGGGCCCAAGTGTGCACAGCGTGCTATGGGGGTAACAGACTGAAACTCAACCCCTGTAGTTTGCAGATGGTGTCATCCTGCTCCTGCTGATTGGACAGCTGGAAGGCTTTTTCTTGCATCTGAAGGAATTCTATCTCACTCCCAGCTCTCCCACAGAAATGGTAAGCTTCTGAGGTCTTCCTCCGTGGATTTCTTTGGGGGGGGTAGACAGATTTATGCCATTGGCCTGACATTCTTTGTTCAATTCCAAGCAATGATAAAAGTGGAAAGGAAGTTTGTTCATATGCCTGTCCACCCATCCATCCTCACACCCATTCACCCATCAACCTACCCACTCACCCGCTCAGTCACCCACCCACCCATCCACCCATCCATACGTCCATCCATTCAGCTATTCACCCACACATTCACTGACATCATCCCACCAGTTAATCTACCCATACACTCAGCCAACATCTATTTATGTATTTATATACCCCTACACATCTATCTACTCATCCATTGACTTATCTATCCATCCACCCATCATCAATCCATCTATCCATTCATCCATCCATCCACCCACCCAGTCATCCCTCTACTCATCCATCTACCCAGCCATCTATCCATTCATCCACCTATCCATCCATCCATCCATCCATCCATCCACCCAGTCATCCCTCTATCCATCCATCTACCCAGTCATCTATCCATCCACCCACCTATCCATCCATCCATCCCTCCATCCTTCATCCACCCATTCATTCACCCACCCACTCATCCATCCACTCATCATCTGTTTGTCTGTCCATTCATCCATCCACCCACCCACGTACCCATCCATCCACCCTCCCGTCTGTTTTTCTACACATCTATCTATCTACTCATTCACCTATCTGTCTGTTCACATATCTACCCATCTGTCTCCCTCAACTCACCTAACCACCCACTCACCCCCCCGTGCACTGGACTCCCCACTCTCCAAGAGTCCGCTTAGTGCCAATGCCACGCTGTCCAGGACACAGGACAGTTCCTCACAACTCTGGCTTTCACGCTCCTCCATCTCTACCAGCCATTCTCGGATGGTGGCCTTCCGGGACATCAAGGCGAGGCATTGGCTTCTGGTGTGCTGTGCAGACTCACAAGAGAACAGTGCTGGTTGCAGTTTGTTTTACAGAATTGAGGAAGATGGAAGATGTCTTGAAATGAAAGAGCAGGCTCAGCTGAGGCTCAGGAATGCTTTCGGGGAACAGTCTGTGGCTCACGAGGGCTACAGGGACTGGGCAGGGCAGGTTTGGTACACAAAGCATTTCATATGGACCCTGGATCCCAGAGCTGCCAAAAGACACACCTTTAGTCCAGGCAGGCAGCTAAGTCTGACCCCAGCAAGAGGGATGAGGAGTGACAGGCCAGGGAGTTGACGAGTTCCAGGGTATGCTCGTTTTGAATGTGCACATGCAGCTGTGCATCGCTGCCCGCGGAGGCTCTAGCACCCTTCCTCTCTGCCCGCTGGACACTGGATCCAAGCATTTCACTCATCTCCTTTGAGCTATGGCCGAGGGTATTCCCTGAAGAAGCCCTTTTCAGAGGCTTCCTGCCCAAGGAGAAGACTCCTATCACCTTCCAAACAAGGGAAGGAATACTTCCCCCTGGGTCACAGCCCAGGTTCTCTCCGGATGGTCTCAGGCTTCTTGTCTCTGAAATGGGTTGCTAACACTACCCTGCCCATTGTCAGGTTGTGTGGGGAGTAAACAGTAGTGTGGAGAGACATTGAGGAGGAGGCTTGGAGGGGCACACATTCCTGGTCCCCTGCCCTGCACTTTCTGAGGCTACTGTAATCTTCCAATCTTCAGGCAACCTTGAAAAGGGTGATGGAGGTGGGACAGTTGGTGGCCTGCCTGGGACCACATGGCTGACCTGTCTTTGTCCACATTCTTTTAGGTAGTGACCTTTCCTCTTGAAGTAACACCCAGTCAGGATGCCTGTCACCAAGTGTGTCACCTGCAGGCTGGGTCCTCCACATCCCTAGTCGGGCCCTTCTTCCCATCTTCCTTTGTTCTCTGTCTGCTGTACCCTCTGCCTGTCTCCCCTATTGCAAGGCCCCCGCTGGTCCCCAGAGCTCAGCATCCAGCATCTTGCCCTCACCTGCCCTAGTGTTGCTGTCTAGATGTTTCTATAACCTCCAGCTCTGCCCCATTCTTGTTTTTTCCAGAGGTCTCTTGGCACTCAGCAGGCCTCTATGAAGCTTCTCCCAGGTCCCTCCCTGGCCCTTCCTTCTGTACCCCAGGAAGAGAGAGGGTGAATTATGTCCCCACTTTACACAGAGCAAGACTGAGTCCTTGGAAGTCTGACAGGCTCCCCTGGGACCACACAGGTTACAGATGCAAGTCCTGTCCTCGGGAAGAATCCATCCCTGAGTCCTGCTTAGGAGCAGGGTGAGCCTGTGGGAGGCTCACAGTGTGGGACAAACTTGCATCCACCCAGTGAGACATCAGGGATGAACCATGAGACAAGTCTGAGGAGGGAGGCAGGCACTGTAGGAACCCAGGCTCAGCAACATGGGCCCGTCCCGTGTCATTCAGCAGCCAGACTTCCTGGGACACGAGGCCTGTGCTTGCTGTGCCTCAACACCCCCATACAATCCAGGCTGGACAGAGGTCCAACGTTCCTGGCACAGCTAACTTGGGAATCATTAGAACCTCTTCCGACCCTGCATGGGAATAGATGCAGAAACAGCATTAGCTCAGAGCCCAAAAGAAGAGGTTGGGGCTTGTGGAAGAGATTCAGGGCAGGAACATGGCCGACTACAGCCACAGGTTATTAGCTGGAGGCTGGATTCCAGTGCTTCTCTTTACTTTTGTTGTTGTTGGTTTGGTTTGGTTTTTGGTTTTTCGAGACAGGGTTTCTCTGTGTAGTCCTGGTTGTCCTGGAACCCACTCTGCAGACCAGGCTGGCCTCGAACTCAGAAATCCGCCTGCCTCTGCCTCCCAAATGCTAGGATTAAAGGCGTGCGCCACCACTGCCCGGCTCCAGTGCTTCTCTTTAGAGCAGCCTCCCGGGACTGATGGGTTTTTTTGTCAGGTGGCGTTTGATTGCAGTGTAGATACAAGGGAGTCAGCGTGCAATTTAGAGTAAAGTTAGGGACACAGAGAGAGGCAGCCATTTGCTCTGCAGAAACCAATGCATCAGAAGCAGGAAGCTGGCTCACTCCCATGTTCAATTTTCTCTCTCAGAGAGATGGGAACACGCGGCCTGGGTCCTGCCTTCCTTGGCTCTGCAGAGCATCAAGCTCTCTCTTCATCGTCTCAAACTGCCCAGAAGCAACGGACAGGCTTGAGGGGGGGGGGAGCGTGGATGGGGGCAGGAGCAAGGGGTGGGGGTGGGGGTGGGGGTGGGGGGTAGGGGAGCAGGCTCCACAAGTGAGGAGCCTGTCCAGACCTTTGGCTTATGAGCTTTGAGGAGGAAGCGTGTGCTAAGAGAAGCCCCATGTTCTCTGAGTCACTCATACATATCCTTCAGCATGGACTTTCTGAGAACAGGTGCTATTCCGATTCTGGGCTTTGTGCACAGCCTGCCCACAGTTGAGGGTCAACTTGTATTTTTAAAATATGCGAGTTGATGGGCCTGGGCAGATGGCTCAGTGTAGTTGCCACCAAGCCTGACGACCTGAGTTTGATCCCCAGATCCCGTGTGGTGGAAAGAGAGAACGGACTCCCGCAAGTTGTCTTCTGACCTCCACACACATGCTGTGGCATACTCGCCACTCCGTAAATAAATAAATGTAAAAATAAAGTAAGAACAGTGACAGGCCAGGGCAGGCATACAGACATCTAACATTCCTGGCACAGCCAGCTCCCAATCCATGATGTCACAACCTGATTCAGACCCTGCATGGGAACAAGTGAGGGAAACAATGGTAACTGCTTAGCTCAGGGCCCAGAGCGGAGGGAGCCAGTGGAAGGAACTGCGGAGTAGGGACATGATGGTTGGTATACACTTGCAACCCCAACTGTTGGAGAGGCTGAGACAGAAAGATCACAAGTTTGGGGCAAGCCTGGGGTATAAAGTGAGGTCAAACCCAGCCTGGATAACTTAGCAAGACCCTGCCTCAAATTAAAAGTAGATATAGGTCTGGACACATGGCAGTAGAGAGGGTGTGAGAACTCCTGCAGCCTATCCCCAGAAGTGTGTGAATGAAGGATTTCTCAAAATTGGCCACATGGGGTACTGTGGCAAATGGAGTCTGTGGCCTCAGGGAAATATAAATACCCTCAAAGCTTTTGACATACTAGGGTGTATTCAAGGCTCTGAGAGATCCTGAAGTGAAGGACCTAAGACTCTGCAAAACCATTTGGTCGCAGACACCCTCTCCCTTGACATCCCGGATCACTCTTTGGAGATACTGGCTTGTCAAGAGCGTATAGAGCGTATGCAGCAGAGCAGGGGCTAGACTTCCCTCTTACTGTTGTTTACTTCCTGGGCAGCCTACAAGCTGCACTCCTGATGAGAAAGTGTCAATGATGGGGAGTTCCCCTTCCCAGGAGATTCCTCAAGGAGGGACTTGGGAACACAGAGGAGGACTGAGCTGTGTGCTCTAGCCTGCATTTGCTCAAACTACTTCCCCCTTGGCCTAGACCTTCCTGAGGATGACTGGCCTTTAGTAGAGCTGTGGCCCAGAGAGCCATCTTCCATCTTCCGCGTGTTCTTGTTCTGCATCATGGGCCTTGCCTTACCTCATCTGTTCTATATCTGTTCTGCTCCTCTGAGGCCCTCCAAGCAGAGACAGACTGTTTTCCACTTTCTAAGGGGACTCTGCCACCTACAAGCCAAGGTTACCTCACCTGACAGACTCGCGTGCAGGGTGTCACCTCCACCAATCCCCCGTCTCAATCTCTCAGTAAAGACCTGTCCTATTAGTAGTGTCTTCTTGATCACGCATGTCCCGAATGTGGCATCTGCTAAGAGCTGTGTGCAAATGAATGTGTCTGTGTGAAGGAGGGAGCTCTCCGTTCACAGGGCGTAGAGAGAGATAGCTGGGTGCCCCCGATTGCTGTTGTAGTTCACGGATTCAAACCATGGTTGGACAAGGAGAGATGCCATTGGTGATAGGAAGGGCCTGGTGCCTGGACCCAGGGTCTCATTGGCTGACATCTGATTGGCTTTGTCATCATAGTTGCACAATGTCACCCTAGCCCTGGAGCTGCTCAAGGATGAAGGCCTCTTCAGCTACCCTATCAACCCTGAAGGTGAGTGCATAGCTCTCCTTGCCTGGAGGACCGCCTTGGACGTGACTGAGGGCAGTTGAGGAGAGTGGAGGGGCAAACATTGTTAGTGGGGTCCCCTGCTTGCTGGTCCATAAAGAGATATTGTTTCGTAGGCATCCTAGGAAGGATGCTGTGGCTACCATGCCAGCAACAGGAACTGAAGTCCCTCAGGATGAGTGTTCAGAGCACCCAGTCGCTGTTGGGGGAGGGGACATGATTACAGGGGAAGCACAGACAATAGGAAGGACACACCAATATATGTCATGTGGCTGGCACTGGGTCTTGAGGTCCTTGTCCTTGTTTGCAGGAGATTTTTCTTGTAGCATGGACCCTCCCCTATCCCTGGGGACAAATGCTCCTCCCTGTCCTGGCCTAACAGGCTGCTTTGTTCCCTCTGCCTACAGATATTGTCAACAAGGATACCAAGAGCACACTGCGGATACTTTACAGCCTATTCCAGAAGCATTCACTGAGGGCAGAGGGTGTCGGGGCACCCCATGGCACTCCAAATTAGTCACCTCTACCTCCCCAAGCTGTTTCTCAGAAGCTGTAACCTCTGGAGACCCAGCAGTCCCAGATCTTCCCACGTCAACGTCATTACTATGGATTGGTGACATGCTTCCCCCGACACCTGTCTTGCTTACCTTTGATCCCAACAGATGGGGACCTATTTTGCGCCGACTCTTGCTTTGCTCCGTGTATTTTGACAGCTGTATTAATTGTATTTATGTGGGTGAGGGGGGGCTCTGCATGTCTGTGGAGTCCTGAGTTAGCCTTTGACTGTGGTGAATAAGAGTTTGGTTCCCAGGCTAGACCAGCTCTCATCAGCCTCCAGTCTGTCTACTAAGGCTATACCTTGATAGTTAGTGGCTGCTCAGACCCCACAAAGTTGACCATCCCCAGCCAGAGGCTCTTTGTCATCAAAGCTGATGATCTCAGGCCAAGGTCTCTGTAAACTTCCTGATTATCCTACTCCCACTTTGGGGTGGTGAGCCCAGGACCATTACCCAAAGACCAGAGCCCCATGTGGAAGAAATGAATTCAGTTTCTTGTCAGAGAACCCTGACCAGGCTATCCCTACAGCTGCCGTTCCGAGCTCAGCCCTGGACCCCAGGGAAGAGATCTAGAGTTGGATCTTGGGTTCAGGTTATCTCTGGTCTGCACTCTGTCCTGTGAGACTTAGTGTCTTTTGCAAAGACAGAGAAACAGCTGAAGAAGTGAGCTGGCTCCAGGCTGGAGGAGAAGCTGTGGGGGGAGATGTAAAGTATGGGGTTCAGGGGTACAGAGACATAGGGGCATAGGGATTCAGGGGTACAGGGATGTAGGGAGGTTAGCCTGTTACTCCTCTGGACTTTTCCCTGCTTGCTTCAGGCTCCTGCAAGGAAAGTCTTTTAGGTTTGGGGGTATGTAGCCAAACAGCTTTGCCTTTGGGGGACTTTGAGGCAGAGTCTGGACAGGCCAGGCCACCCCTGCAAAGACAGTAGGTGGAGTTAGGTGACCTGGAGCTCTGGTGTATGCTGTGAGGAGGCCTGGGGCTTCTCTCTACTCAGATCCATTCCACCTGTCCCTTTGGCCCTATGCAGGCCACTCATACGTATTAGAGGGCACCATCAGATAGCGCCTCTGTCCTGCTGCCTCTGAGACATGTCCCTCTTCTATATCAGGACATCCTCACAGAAGCTGGGCCCTGCTATCTATCTGCTCAGGTAGTCCTTCCATGGAGACCTTCCTCTGTACCTCATCTCTTCTCTCTGGGGCATCCTGAGCCACGGTACAAGCTCGAACCCTCTGCTTCTTTACTAGAGGCTTGGCAGGTCAAAGTCAGAGGCCACACCCACCTTCTAGGCTCTTGGCTCCCTTCCCTCCTTCTCCCTTGCTTGCTTGCCCTCCTGGCCCCTCCACATCGTCACCCTCCACCTCCTTATCCTGTCTGATAGGAGGTCTGAATCATAAAGAGAATCATGTCTGAAACTTTATTGAGGACTAAATAACATTCCTCAGTTTACGTGCATGACTTAATGACAGCTGACAAACATACACAATCATATCCCTCCAACCAGAAGTCTCAAGATCTAAAACACTCCGCCACCTGATGTCCCACCCGTCAGAGCCCCTGCCTTAGAAGGGGAGAGCTGCCCTCTGTTGCTGCCTTTTCTGCATCTCTTAGAAGCTGACCTTCCCCAGGGTGCTGAGGTTTGGTCTACTACTATGTATTGTAATGGCAACTTCTGTATCCCAAGTCTAGTTGCCTCAAAACAAGTGAATTCTCATGTATTCCAGCTTTTGTTGTGTAAACCTTGTTCCTTAATTTAAAACTATTGCTTGGATAAAGATGCCTATAGCCTGTGGCTGGGCAGGAGAGCGGAAGGTAGACCTTTGGTTCCTGGGCTGGGGAGTCTGGGGCAGAGATCACAAGGAGAGGGAAGGGAAGAAGGAAGAAGGCTCCATGGGGTAAGTGGATTATGAGCACATAGCCATGAGGGCCAGCCTGTTGGGGTAGAAGTGGCCCAGTGGAACCTGCAAGTGTTATGCCAGGTTTATTGACAGGAAAGAAGACAAAATATCACAGAGGGTGCTCTATCTGCCCAGCTCTGATGCTTTAAGGCTTAAAGAGAAGCCTTAATTTTTGAGAATCTGTGTTAGTCAGTTCTGGATACTGTAACTAAGAGATCTAAAGTGGGCTAGAAACCCCCAAATAATATTTAAAGTATCAACGTGGGGTTTCTTTTCCTGATGCAATTCTACTCTCTCCACAGTGAGCGTACAGCCCATCCCTCTGCTTGCTGAAGACAGGCCCCCTCAGTGGGTGCCAATCATTCATCCATGTGTTCAGTTCGCTGCCTCCAAAGTTTGAGGATTCTCTTTACTCTGGTTTCCCTGTAGTCTACAGGGATTGCTATTCATGTTTCTCAGATTGCTTTGCATGTTCGAGTCTTTGTATGAACGCTTCCTAACCCTTTTCCTAGGTGAATACACAAGACTCACACGGCTGATTCGGTAAGATACTGAGAAATATAACAAGTTCTTTCTCTGCTGGTGAAATGATAGCCAATTCAAGCCACACACACACACACACACACGCACACACACAAAAGCTCAGGTTTATTGGGAAGCTGCTCTCAGGCAGGCAAGTTCACTGGCTCCCCCAACGGAGGCCAGGGAAGTCGCCACACGAAGGAAGAGAGAGAAAAAAAGAACTCGTGTGCAAAAAGAGAAAGAGAGAGAAAGAGAGAAGGTTAGAGAGAGAGCAGGAGACCGAAGCATCTGGATTATATAGGGAAGAGCCTCTGGGGGCATGGCGACCTAGCCTCTGGCCTGTAAAGTTTAGGGTTGGGGACAGTATATGCCAGGTAGGGACTGAGGGATACTGAGAGAACCTGGAGGCCGGCTCTGCTTTGGTATGTAAAATATACACCTCAGCCCCTTGTCCCAGAGTCTGAAACCAAAAAAACCAGTTACAGTCTTCAGTCCCACCTGCAGGGCCTGAGAGCCCCAGTTACTCTGTGTCTTATGGTCACTTGCTATTATCTATCTTTTCAATGTTAGCTATTCAAGAGGGTGGTTTTGATTTTAAATGTTACTCCTCTAATTTTTGAGACTCTGTATTAGTCAGTTCTGGATACTGTAACAAAATTCCAACAGACTAGGCAGTGTAAATCCTAGGTAGTCTGTCCAACAGTTACCGTGTCTGGGACTTGTAAGATGGAGGAGCTGGCAGCTGTTCCTCTGGTGGATGGCAAGAACCCTCCTCCTGGCTCAGAGTTGCTCCTCTTTCTGTCTTCAGGAGGGTGTGGGTAGGGTGGTATGGGGTCTGTCAGAAAGGAGAGAAAGAGAGATCACCACCCTGCCCTTGTCCTACCTTCTTCTGGGGACCCCACTTTCATGGCTTCACCTGAATCTAATCACAGTAAATTTGCCTCCACATAGCACAGGTAGGGGAGGAGCAGCATGCACCCCAGGCAATACCTTCTCTTTCTTACCTCTGTATCATCCTTGGTAAAGTGTTTGCTTAAATAATTCGCCATAAAAAATAACTGCATGTTGGATCCCCTGGGGCAGGGGAATCTGACCCTCTGGAAGAGCAGTAAGCACTTTTAGCCTCAGAATTATCCAGCCCTATTTGCCTTCCCTGCCCCAGTATAGAAAAATTATTGCACTTTAAGCTTCATATATAGTGTTGAATGCATTCTGAGTTAATTTTTACATAGAGGGCAAAGGCTGAATTGTAATTTTCCCCGGTGGATACCTCCTCCTTCCAGCCCAATCTTGTAAAGACTTCCCTTTGCCCACCAAATCTCCACGGTGTCTCGGTGTAAAATCAGTTTGCCACACGTCTTCCATCCCAGGGCTGGGCTGTGCTCATCTTGTGTGCAGTGTGCACCACGGTGCCAGCACCAGTGTCCTTGCTACTGGGGAGTCCTTAAAGTCATGAAGCCAAGCAGTGGGTTCCCCAGCTCGGTTCTCTCTTTGAGAAGCAGCATTGGATCCTGAGAGCCCTTTGAATTCATTTGATCTCAGTATAAACTTGGGATCAGTTTGTCCTTCTCTTTTTTAAAGGAACCTTTGAGATTTTTGATTGAGTTGTGCTTACCCTTCAGTCAAGTGGTGATCAGCCTGTGGCTTAGAACTCTGGGAAGCTGGGTCACTGACTTGGAGACCTCCTCCCCCAACCTGTCACCTTCCGCTCCTCCTTTATCTTCTCCCACCTGTCACCCTCTGTTCCTCCTTCATCTCCTCTCCTTTCTTTTCTCCCTTCCTCTTCCCTTTTTCTGTTGTAATTTAAAATATTTTATTAATACGTTAAGAATTTCATACAATGTATTTTGATCATATTCACCCAGCTCCTCCCCCACTTCCTCCAAGCTCCACCCCTATCTCTTTCCCTCCCAACTCCATGTCCTCATTTAAAATAAATAATCCACTCTGCTGCCCAGACTGCTGGTGTGATCTTCTATTCGTCAGGCTTCTCTAGAGGTACATAACTTATAAAATGAATCTCTCTCTCTCTCTCTCTCTCTCTCTCTCTCTCTCTCTCTCTCTCCATATCTGTACACATACATACATATGCATATATACATATATAGCCTCTATATACATTTATGTATGTATATATACAATTGTAGTCTATATGTATGTGTGTATCTTTCTTTCTCTATATATACATACATACATACATACATACATACATACATGTGTGTGTGTGTGTGTGTGTGTGTGTGTGTGTATAGAAAGAGGATTTATTAGAATGGCTTAGAGGCCATGATCCAACCAGTGCAACAATGGCTGTCTACAAACAGAACATCCAAGAATCCAGTAGCTGTTCAGTCCATAAGGCTGGAGGGCTCAGCCTGTCTTCAGTATAAACCAGGATTCTGAAGAAATGGGCTCTAATGCTTCAAGGAATGAACTTGCTAGTGAGACCGAGGGCAAGGGAAGGCAGGCAGGGAAGGCAGGCAGGGAAGGCAGGCAGAGCGCACAGGCTTTCTTCAGTGTCCTCTATATAGGCTGCTACCAGAAGGTGTGGCCTGGGTTAAAAGGTAGATCTTCTTTCCTCAAAAGATCTGGTTTAAAGGTGTATCTTCTCACCTCAAAGATCCCAGTTAGAAGTGAGTCTTCCCTCTTAAACTGATTTAAGTTTAAAAAAAAAAAAAGTCCTCCACAGGAGTGCCCAGTCGTTTGGGTTTTAGTTAATTCCAGATGTCGTCAAGTTGACAACTCAGAAGATCCACCACAGATGGCGTGTAGCCCAGGCTGGCCTCTGGCCTCACTGTGTAGCCCAGGAAGACCTTGCATTGCTGATCGTCCTGATTTCACCTCTGTGTGCTGGCAGTCATGCCTGGATCCCAACACCCTACCTTTTGATTATAGTGTATAGTCCATTTACATTTTTTAAAGATTTATTTTTAAGGCTGTGCATGCATATATGCACCTGTGTGCAGGTGTCCACGAGGTCCAGCAAAGGGGGTTAGATCCTCTGGAGCCGGAATTACAGGTGGTTAGGAGATTTCTTGTTCTTGAGGCATCTCTGGTGTAAATCCACACCAGATTTTCATCTCCTTTTCATCTCCTGGTAGCTGCCTGCATCTCTAGGCTTGTAGCCACACCATTTCCACACCTGCCCACAGCCATTTGTTTCTTCTTCGTCTTGCCTGCCTACCTGCTTCCCCCCTCTCTCTTCTGACAAGGTCTCACTATTTAGTCTCGACTGTTGCGGAACTCACGATATAGACCAGTCTGGCATCAAACTCACAAGAGATCTGCCTGTTTATAACCCCAACTCTCACTGTCTAGTTCTTTCTCTGGACCCTCTTCCTGGGTCTCTTATAAACACTTGCTGTGGGATTTAAAACCCCCAATGACCTGAGACCATTTTATGTCACATCCCCTAACTTGGAAATGTGAGGATGGCACAGTTACTAAAGTATGGGCTTTGTAATTGCAAGGGCCTCAGTTCATTTCTCAGGACCTGTATAAAAATACCACATGTTGTGGTGTATACTCGTTTTCTGTTGCTATCACAGAGTACTTGAGGTTGGGTGATTTATCAAGAACATGGGTTTGTTTCTTAGAGTTCTAGAGGCTGGGGAATCCAGGATGAAGAGGCAACACCCCTGGGTCTTATCTCGTCTATGGTGGAAGGCAGGTGGGTAAAGAGAGGAACAGCCCTTGGAGAGGTAGCCTGGAGCCCTTTATAATGGGGTGCATGTACTTATGGAGGTGGACCCCAGTGACCTAAAGTTTCTTACTAGGCTCCTCTTCCAATGCTTGCATGGGGTGGGGGTGGGGGATTATGTTTCTAGCCTGTGGGCTTTGGGGACAAACTCAGCCCAGAGCAGAGCAGAGCAAAGCAGCGTTTTAGAGCCCCCCCAGTGCCAGCCTGCTGTAGGGAGTCTGTACCTTCAGGAATGGATTCACTGTAAAGAAACAGATCTCTGGGTGTGAAATTCCAAATGGACAGGGTTTTCTTTTTCTCTCTTTATTTATTTTTAAGGTTTTGCTTTATTTTTAACTATGGGTATGTGTGCCTGTGTGTCTCTGTATGGGTATGTGCACATGAGGGCAGTGCCTGTGACAGCCAGAAGAGAGCGTCAGATCTCCTGGAGCTGGATTCATAGGCTGTTGTGAGCAGCCCTACTCAGTGAGATGCTGAGAACAGAACTCAGGTCCTCTAGAAAAAGCATCTCTCTGTTTGTTTGTTTGTTTGTTTGTTTGTTATTTTTACCTCTTTGCCCTTCATCATCCTTTGCTGTGTCTCTTTAAATTGTTTTTGCAGGATTTTCTTATGGTGTCTTCCAACTTTTAAACTCCATAGCAAGAAGGTGGCCGTTCCTCCTCTCTGATTTGCCAACTGTGTCTTTTTCTAATTGCCTGGTTTATGTGATTTTCAATTTATCCTGTTTTTTACTCATGTGACCCTGAAGAGTCTTGGTGTGAGTTTGTCTTGTATTTTTTTTAAAGATTTATTTATTTATTTCATGTATGTGAGTACACTGTCACTGTCTTTAGACACATCAGAAGAGGGCATCGGATCCCATTACAGATGGTTGTGAGCCACCATGTGGTTGCTGGGAATTGAACTCAAGACCTTCTGGAAGAGCAGTTAGTGCTCTTAACCTCTGAGCCATCTCTCCAGCCCTTGTCCTGTGTTTTGAGTCTGTGGAGAATTTTGGTTCTGTGGGATTATGGTTTTTATGAAATCTGGGAGGGCTTTGGCCGTTATTTCTTTAAACAACTGTTTCCTCAATGCCAGGTCGAGTGGCTTTGGACCTTCTCACACTTGGATGCTGTAGTTTTTGGTTTTCCTTTTATTTCCGATGCTGGGGATCAGAGGCAGGGGCTCGCACACACCTGCTGAGCCAGTGCTCCGTCTGTGCTGTAGCTCCGTGCAGCCTTCGCTGTGTCTCAGTCTCTCTCCTGTTTTCAAGTCCATCAATCCGTCGCTTCTCAGGGCAGTCGCCCCCACTTTTATCCAACCTGAGATGTTCAGTTCTGTCGTCTCGGGAATCCATTTAGGTCATTTAAAATATCCTCCGGTTCTCACCACGCTCACACTTTCTTCTACCTCCGATGCACCCGAGGCCTACTTATACGTGTGTTTAAACACTTCCATCTACTGATCTGTCGTCTGGGATGTTTCTGGGCTTCTTCCCTTTGATCGATTCTTCTGATCATGATTTATGGCTGTCTTGTCAAGCAAAATTGCACGCCCAGCAAAAAGCGTACATCATGGATTTTATGTCGCTGAGCACTGAGTTTCTTTGGCAATATTTCTTGGGACCTGTGAGATGGCTGAGTGAGAAAAAACAGTGGACAGCAAGGCTTTGGGCTGTGGGAGGTGCTAGTTTCAAGCGCAGCACTTGCCAGGGAAGTACCCCACCACCAAGTCACACCGTCAGCCTCATCTGGTCTTTGGAGACATAATAGGAGCCTGTTTGGTCCTGGCTTCACCACTGAGGTGAAGCACACTGGCTTCACCACTGAGGCAATACTGACCTGGGCACCCTCCCTGTGGTTGAAGGTTGGGCTGCCTGAGCTCTGAGACTCTGCCATTTCTGCTTGCCTTTGTTTCCGAGGTGAACACTCCAAGGAGACCTCTCCCCTGACTCATGTGATGAAGGGCAGTGTTTGCTGGCCTAGGGCCTCTCTCTGCAGTTCCCACAGATTATGGGGGACCCCACAGATTATGGTGGGGGCATGGTGATTTCAAACTCTAAACCCTACTCCTCTATCTGGGTCCTGACTTCCCGCTGTGGACTCTGCCACTTTTGCTCTCCTGGGGGAGGGGGTGTTAATTGGATACTCTGTCCTCTACAGTTCCCACTCCTCCCCCACGAGGGCCACTGTCCCAGCTCTGTGTTTCTTTCTTCTACTTGTGTGCTCGTACATATCAATGTCTAAGGACATCTGTGGGTCCCTTTCTTCACTTGCTGTTTCTTTCTTACTTTTTATTTTATGTTTAGATAGAGTCTCTTTTTGTTGTTATTGTTGCTTTTGTTTGTTTAGTTTTTCAAGACAGGGTTTCTCTGTGTAGCCCTGGCTGTTTTGGAACTCACTCTGTAGACCAGGCTGGTCTCAAACTCAGAGAGCCACCTGCTTCTGTTTCTCGAATGCTGGGATTGAAGGCGTGCACCATTACCACCTGGCTAGACCGCCTTTTAACGGCCTGGGTCTCAGCAGGTAGGCTAGACTGGCTAGCCAGTAAGCCTAGAGATCTGCTTGCCTCTATTCCTCAGTACCAGTGTATAAATGCCCATCGCCACACCAGCCTTCGAAAGTGGATTCTTGGGGTTCTGTGCTAGCTAGTTTTGTCAGCTTGACACAAGCTAGAGTCGTCCGGGAAGAGGGAATCTCAATTGAGAAAATACACCCACCAGAGTCTTAATGATGATTGATGGGGGGGGGCACAAGTTACTGTGGGCAGGGCCACCTCTGGGCTGGTATATCCCAGTGGTATAAGAAAGCAGGCTGAGCAAGCCAGAGGGAGCAAGCAGGCCAGCTGTGCTCCTCTGTGGTCTCTGCTTCAGTTCTTGGGTTCCTGCCTTGACTTCCCTGAATGGTGGACTAAGCCCTACGCTGAAACGCATCCTTTCCCCCTCAAGTCACATTTTGGTCATGGTGTTTTTACCACAACAATGGAAACCCTAAGGCAGGTTTGAACTCAGGTCCTTATGATTTTGAGGCCACGGCTTTAACATCCAGGCCGTCTCCTGGTCTCCATGATGGGCTGTCTCTAACTGTGTGGCTCAGCAGTGCTGAGTTCATTCACGTCACACAGAAAGCATCCGTATCGGGTACTAACTCCGCCTCCTTCCCTCAGCTCTTGGCAGCCACCAGGCTGCTTCCTCTTGACTCAATTCGTCTTTACTCTCCAGAGCTTGGCTTCTGTTGGGGTGCCATTCAAACTCCCCACCTCCAAATCAGGGCTTACTGTCCCT